TTTTACTTCTCATGTTTGGCATGCATGCCTTCTATGAACTTCCCTGTTCTACACCTTTCAGCCTGAGAGGAGTGGTTACCAACACCTTTGGAAGGTGAAAAGGAACTCCTTCCTGTGCAACCTCACACTGAGGTTTCTCCAGCATCAGCACACAAGGTGACAAGGCTCCATCAAGGGGGACACGCTGCTCCAGCCAAGGGCTCAGCTCACACTCACACACCCAGCAGTGAAGGAGCAGCTCGGGATCAAGGGGCCTCTGCATCACACCCTACCCTGGGACTGGGCAGGAACGAAACCTGGGTCTTTTCACTGAATGAAACCTGCTCTCTCAGGAAATCTGTGGGGGGAACTGCAACAGGGTGTCAGAACCTCAGCACATGGCACAAGAGAGGCACAGGGGCAGGACAGGGCACTGCAGGAGCTGATCCCAGCAGAAACACCAGCCCGATCAGGGCACACCTGCCCTCAGCCCTTATCTTTTGATAAGGCAAAGGTTCGCAGGGCACACTGCTACCATGCCAAGTAAATCGCCTCGTCAATTTTTAATTGATTTCAGCTTTCACATTAACCTTTGTGAGCTGGCTGTACAGGGAAAAAGCCACAGCCTTGTTTGCTGGATATGGGAGGACCCAGAGCACCAGTGACGCCCCAGCATTGTCCCCTGCCCTGTTAAACCAGACAGGAAAGAGGCAGCTGTGGTGAGGCAACCAGGAGGGAGTGCAGGACCATGGCGACCTACGTGCAGCTCAACACCACTGCCAAAATGCCCCTCGTGGGGCTGGGCACCTGGAAGGTAAGAGCTGCAGGGTAAAGCACCTTACTGCAGTGCCCCTGGTGCAGCTCTGGAGAGCTGTCCTGGTGCCTGGGGCTCTGCTCTGCCTGGCTGAGAGTGAGCTGGAGTGGAGCTACAGATAAATGCCTGGAGGTTGATTTTTATGCTGCAGGAAAAAGTAGATCAGAACAGCACTCAGGTCACTCCTGACACAAGCTTACAGCCTCACCCCATCCTGTAGGGAGAGTTAGGATGGATGCACGGTGACTGCACCCTGCTGTGGTGACCCGGCAGTCCTGGGGGGTGGATAGCTTAGTGCAAAAGAAGGGAAGCAGGAAAAGGCAGAGGGGACCAGGTAGCCCGAAGCAAGGTAGTGATGCAGAGGTCAGAGACCACTCGGTGTCATCAGCAGCTTGCTAATGACACCCTGCTGATGCTGCAGCACAGCAGAGCACACGGGCTGCCACTGCCTGGTGCTTGTTCCAGCGGCTGGGCTCAGAGCACTGCCAAAGGGGTGTCCCTGCCATTGGAGGTGTCCTTCTGGGCACCTTGGGACAATGCAATCTGCTCAGCACGTGTCCCAGGGAAGCTGGGGTTGGTGAGTTTCCTTTCTCATTACAAAAATCAGGCTACTTAGCTGGAATCTGGAGTTAATTCTTACCTAAGTAAAGGTCGGTGGCAACCACTCTTTGTGGCTGGTCTTACACCTGCTTGGCTTTGCCTGCTACATGCAGTGCAGAGTTCTGTGCATGCTCAGGAACAACACTCAGATACAGCACTGCCTCTGAAAGCCCCCTGCTGCCAAGGCAGACCTGGGGAAAAGGGGTGGCACAAATGATGGGTGAACTCATGGAACCAGAGACTGGCACACGCTGCCCCCAGAGCCACAGGCCAGAGCTTGCCACATCTGAAGAGCACGAGGATGGTCTCATTCCACATCATTTTCCAAAGAACAGGGAGCATTCCCGGGCTGTGCAGGAAGCACCCAAGAGCAACAACCAGGAGGTCACAGTCTGCCCTGTTTTTGTCCCCAGCTGTGGTGCACCTTCCACGAGAAGCCTCTGGTGAAGGGAGCCTGCCAGAAGACTCTTGCTGACCTGAAGTTGGATTACCTGGATCTCTACCTCATCCACTGGCCTTTTGGCTACAAGGTACAGTAGCAGCAGGTCTCATTCCCGGGAGAGCTCCTCAGCAGAGCCAGGAGCAGTTGCAGCACCACTGCTGCTGCAGAAAGAGCCCGTGCCTGCTGTGCCAGCACTGCCCTGGTGCTGCCCACCCTGCTCTGCTGTGCCCTGATCTGTGCCCCTGAGCGCTGCCTGCACAGCGTCCTCTGCCCTCCTGATAACAGAGAGGCAGCACCAAGGTCAGGCCCCTGGCTGCAAGCAAAAGCTGTGCCTCTTTCCCTTTCCTGCACACACACAAGGTGTGCTCTGCTGCAAGAAAAGCCCCTGGGACAGAGGGGTGCAGTTTGCTGCCTGACAGGAATTCTTTCCTCTGCAGGCTGCAGAATCACACGGTGCAAGTGAACACCTCCATTTCCCATTTCTCTCTTTAATCATCAAATCCTTAATACAGTTCAGACTGAGCTGGCCTTGCCTGTAGGAGCCTTAGTGTTGTTTCACAGGGTTTGGATTTCAAAAAGATACCTATCAAAATCACTATTCTACCTTATGCTCTTGAGCTCAGCTCCATTCCCCCAATATTGTTTTAGTTAGCTTTATGTGGACAAATTTGTTAAGTAAAACTGCACAATATTTATTCCAATAATTCAAAATACTTTGGCCATACTGTCTAGTTACAGGCTGCTCTAATTTTTCTAATACAGCAATTTCAACAGTGAGCCTCCCCATGGGACATCTGTCAGCAGACGCACTCCAGTATAAATGCCTGGGTTAACAGGGGCAAAGTCAATCCTCCACAGAGCTTTTTAAAAACACCTAAAGAAACTGTTGTTTGAATAATAAGTTAATTCATATAAGACTCCAGAATATTGTTCTATAAGTTAACCACTTCCCTGCATGCACTTTGTGGATCATCACTTCAGACAGTCCAGTAGAAACCTTTATTGGGATAATAGATGACAAAAATGCATGAAATAAGAAGTGACTGAAGAACTAGTTAAGTTATGGTGAGAATTACTTGATTTTTTTAAATGCTAAAGTATTAGCTTTAGCTCCTTACATCCCTGTTGGGTGATTTTACACAGCTAAATAACCTCTGTGTCTCAGCTGAAGTTATTTCAAGCCTTTTCTCTCTCTCTAACAGGCTGGAGAGGAATTGTTTCCCAAAGATGACAAAGGCATGGCCATACCCAGCAACAGTGATCTTCTACAGACGTGGGAGGTAAGTTCAGAACAGAACAGGAATGTCCTCTGTCCTCATCAGTCTTTGCCATGCTTCCATTACCTTCAGCAGTCAGAGAACTGTTGTCCTGTTCACACAAAATTAGCTGGGAGGAACCTAAGGCAGTACAAAATAGCTTTTCTTAAATGGGGATGCTTAATCCTTCCCTGGTTATTCCTATTCTCTGAGTGTCTTACTTGACTGGAGCTGCACAAGCACTTCCAGTGGAGATGCACACCAGACTGAAGCTAGAAAAAGTTCACTGTGGAACAATAACAACTGCACAGTTGTTATCACCACGATTCTTGTGCCTTTCTTGAGTTGCTCAAACAAATTTCACAGAAATAAAGACATTTTGGGTTGAGATCTGGCCTACAATGTGTGGGACAGCCCTGCAATGTTTGCACAACAGTGGATTACTGAGTATCATCATTCTTCTCATGCAACTCAGTGTGAATTTCTACACACTCAGGGAATGAGAATTTGGGCTTGGGTGAGATGGCATTAATGTGCCAGCACCTGCTTTTCCCTCAGAGAACTTTGCAACTTTAAACAGTTCTTTTGTGCTGCTTGTGGTGGGAAACAAGTCCCATTAGGAAGAACATTATCATGAGCTGCCTTGCACACTGGATGATGACTTTGCTATTTTAGGCCATGGAGGAGCTGGTGGATGCTGGCCTGGTAAAAGCCATTGGAGTCTCCAACTTCAACCATGAGCAGATTGAAAGGATCTTGAACAAGCCAGGACTGAAGCACAAGCCTGCAAATGTCCAGGTGAGCTGCAAAGTGACTGCAGGTACTGGTTTTGTGGGATTATAAATTCCATTTACAGTGGAATGAGGAGATGGGAAAAGGGTGAACAGAGAAGACACAGCATGTACTTTAAATCCCTCTCTATGGATATTTCAGAGTACAGCACTTGGATACTCTATTTTTTTATTTTATCACCTTGCTCAACCACTGTTTAAGGATGTTGGAGAATCTTCCTGAAAACAGCCTTTCTGGAATAATAAAGAACCCAGAGATGAGCTTTGGGAAACACCCCCCAGCAAAAACTGTATAAGCACTTTGTATCAAATAGGTGGTTTAATATAATAAGGATGGGTATTGTCATGCAAGCCACTGTCAAATTAGGGAAAAAAGCAGTCTCTAATTGGACTAGGAGATAACTTATGGAGCACAACAATATCACAGCAGTTCTGCCACTGTCAGGCTCTTTGTTTTTGTGTTGGCAGATTGAATCTCACCCATACCTCACCCAGGAGAAGCTGATCAAGTACTGCCAGTCCAAAGGGATTGCTGTGACTGCATACTGTCCCCTTGGCTCTCCTGACAGACCATGGTAAATTTGCTCTGCAATCTGCCAGGGAGCTGGTGGGGGTTATGGCTGAAGCACTGAGACTGCACATACACCACTCATTTCTTATTTAAACACAGATCTCTGTTGCTGTGCTGGATCTTTCTGGGGATGGCTGGGCAGTGATCCTTTAGCACCCTTGCCATGGCCTCCTGCAGCAAGAGGGCTGGGATCTTCCTTCTTCCTGCTTAATTTACACTTTACCTGCATAACTACATTTACTGAGTGTTAACCCAGCCCTACTTCTTCAGAGTTTAATCAGCAATCCTTCCATGGTACCATTCCCTGTTCCATGGCTTGTGGATGGATGAGCAGGCACAGCTTGCTTGGAATCCCCACACAGGAACATGGCAGAAACATCTTATCTGGAATCAGCAGTGTTCATAAAATAATCCCTCATGTCCATAAAACAAGTTGTTCTTCATACTTCAGTGGTCCAAGTGTGAAAGTGGATTCTCCAGTGTGGAGCTGCTCTTGTATTTCTCTTAGGTTTGTTCAAAGAAGTGATTTCCACTTGTATCTGTATTTAGGTGTTTGACTTTGAACTGACTAAAGAGGAGATGGCAACTATCCTGACCTTCAACAGAAACTGGAGGATCTGTGAAATGAACGTGTAAGTGATGCTGCTTGTTTTCTTCTAAATCTTAAAATCTGTGTCACTGCTTCTAGGTAACATGAAATTCATTTTTTTAAAAATCACACCAACTCAAACTCCAAGTGGTTTTGGTTTGTCCCAAAAAATAACATTTTCCAGAGAGGGCTTAATGTTTTCACTTTAAAAACAAAAAAATAAATGAAAGGAAACTACATTCTATTTTTTAATTCTTAGTTTTCAGGAAACTCTCTTGAATTACAAAAAAATGGGATGTTCAACTCATCTCTGTCTGTATGAGAGAAAGGAGAACATGTATCTCCACCTGTTCTTGCTGTAACTCTGTGCTGCACATCTTCCCTTGGTGGCTCCTCCATGCACACAACATATCTCTACATCACATTTAGATCATGGGTGAAAATAACACTCCCACTTTCATTTCTTTCAGGTCCAAAAATCTCAAGGAATACCCTTTCCGTGCAGAATACTGAAGGTGTTTGTAACATGGCCTTCACTAGACCTCTGGTGCCATCTCCCCTGGTGCTGCCAGTGAAGACGTGGCATGTTTATCCCACAACATTTGGGGGTTTTGGAAGAAAAAAAATAATATTTTCTACAGCACCACTATTCACTGGTTGCCTTAAGTCTTGCATCAGTAGAAAACAGATGTTGACAAACACACCCCACAGATCCACAATTTCATCAGAGGGGTCACGCATTTTAAATAAAATTAACTTTAAAATGCAAAAAACCTAATTGGTGGGAAGTTTTCTGTCTAGTGTGGGAAAAACCCCAAACCCTCGCAGCCAGAGATGCACAGAGGGGTGGGGTGCAGTCACCTGCTCTGTGGGGACACAGATCCTGCCTGGGACACTCAGCATTTTCCCCTGCCATCCCTCAGCACCCACCTTGTGCCCCCCTCACCAGCCACAGCCCTGGTTTTAATAGACAAATAAAAGATTTATTACAGAGCTTCCAAAAAAAAATAATAATAATGAGGAGACACAGAGAGATTGGTGGGACCTCGGAGGATGCTCCTGGCTTGGTCTGAACTCACTGCAAGAAAGGCAAATGTCTTAAAATCAGATTAAATCTCTACCCCCATTTTATTCCTGCCTTAACAAGCATCTGGAAGCTGAATGCACACCATTCAGCAATGTAAACTTTCTGTTCCAACACACACTCTTTTCTCAAAGGCCCTGCCATCATCTGACCATCCCAGCCACACTTTTGGGACGGAAATTGTCACCTCTCAGGGACTGGCCAGAAACCCGGGGCAAGATTAAAGGGAAAAGTGATTATCCTGTCTGCCTTCAGTTAAATGAGGCAGGAAAATCTTGGGTGTCCAGAGAAAAACACACCATTGTATACATTTCAGATTTATGCTTGTACCTGAAGGAATTCTCCGAGCACAAGCAAAGCAGCCCTGACAGGCTGTTAGGGAGCACTCGGAGGATCCTGCTGATAAATTAATTTATTTTTCATTGCTCTTTAAACACGCCATCCGCACAGCGTATTTTGCCTCTCCGAAATTGCAGAGTCAGTTTCTAAAGTGAAATTAAAAGGCCGCCTACTGTTTATTTGTACATTTGTGTGTTTCCTTCTGAAATACGGCCCGAGCTCCCTCCCACAGGGGCTCCCTCCCACACGGAGCTCCCTCCCACTGCATGCCCCATGGCCGCCCGGCCAGCCCCATCGGCCGCAGTCTCCGCTGCTGATTGGCTGGCGCGGCGGGCTCGCGCGGAACCGGGGGAGCTGATTGGCTGTGGCCGCGGGCTCGCGCGGAAGCGGCGGCGCTGATTGGCCGCGGGCGCGGAGGGGAACCATGGCGGGCATGGCGGGGTGCGTGCGGCTCGGGGCCGCCGCCAGCGCGCCCCTCATGGGGCTGGGCACATGGAAGGTGAGGCGGGCACCGCGCTGCGGGACGGGGAGGCAGCTGAGAATCCCTCACCCAGACCTCCCCTGCCCTTTTTTCCCTTTAGTCCCCCCCAGGGAAGGTGACGGCTGCGGTGACGGCTGCCATCGATGCCGGGTACCGCCACTTCGACTGCGCCTATGTGTACCAGAACGAGAAGGAGGTTGGGGAAGGGATCCAGCAGAAAATCAAGGAAGGCGTTGTGAAACGAGAGGACCTCTTCGTGGTCAGCAAGGTATGGCTCAGGTCATGGATTATGGACACACTGGTTTACCTGTGCTCGGAACATCTAACATTTTGCACAGTTAAACGCCGTAGCCCTGGAGGAGTTTGTACTGCCAGTGAGTTAATTCCTCACACCGTTCTCTTGTGTCCTGTGCAGCCCAGGCCTCGCTGCGGGTGCAGAGCACTGAGCAGGCCTCATCCCACTTGCCATTCCAAAGAACAGGGAGCGTTCCCGGGCTGGGCAGGACAGCACCCGGGAGCATCACCCGGGAGGTCACAGTCTGCCCTGTTTTTGTCCCCAGCTGTGGTGCACCTTCCACGAGAAGCCTCTGGTGAAGGGAGCCTGCCAGAAGACTCTTGCAGACCTGAAGCTGGCTTACCTGGATCTCTACCTCGTCCACTGGCCTTTTGGCTTCAAGGTACAGGAGCAGCAACGCCCTAAACTTTGTTTCTTGTGGATGGCTTAACAGCCCAACAATTGTTCTGCCTGACAAAGACAGTTACATGCCTGTTATCTGTGCCAGCACTGCTGTGGTGCTCAGCTTGATGCTGTGTGACTCAGGCTCTTGGCCTCTGCTCCAGAGGCAGTTGCTTTCATTCCCTTTGATCCTGGGAATGATGGCAATCTGACTCAAATCTAGAGAAACTAGAGGCAGCTCTCCCAGCTCCAAGCATAAAACATTTCTCTTTCCTTTTCTCTTGCAAATCCAATGTGTGTTAATCTCAAAATCACCCCTTGTGGGAAGGAGGGTTGCTTTTTGCTGCTTCTTTGCAGTTTTCCTTTGTGTGCTACAGAGTCAGAGAGCAAAAGAAAGCATTTCTGTTTTCCATTTTTCTCTTTAATCACCAAGTCCTTAATGCAGTGCAGATTGAGCTGGCCTTGCTTGTAGAAGCCTTAGTGTTGTTCCACTGGGACAGGAATTCCGTTCCGTCCCCATTCTGCCTGTTGCCTTTGAGATGCTCATCTTTTTTTGCATGCTTTATTTTAACTTTATATGAACAGGGCCATGAAACTCTCATGGTGACAGCAGCAAACAGCTGCTAAACACAGTTCAGTCCTGGCATCTTTTCATATCTTGTACACAGAGGCTCTTCCAGCTGTCCCAGTGTTGGTGGCTTTGCACTGAGTGTTGTCATGGAAGAACTGTCAGTGCACACCAGAGCTCTTTTCAAAAGGTAGAGCTGGTGTTGTGTAGACCAAAGTGTTGATGCCTCCCTGGAAAAAGAACAAAACAGTTCTTGCTAATTGGGAACTAAAGAACAGCCCCTGAAGGGAGCACCTGTGAGACTGGAGGCTGCAGCTTGGACTGGTTTGTTTCCCTGGGGGTGTTTGGGTGAGCCCTCACTTCCAGGGGTCCAGCAGAAAAACCTGTTGTACTGGAAACTGGCAAAAATGCCTTAAATTCCTTCCACTTCTCAGGAAGGAATGACTGAGTGTAGACAAGAATCAGCACTCTTGCTCTAGAAGTTTAAGATATTGTAGTTGAGAGCACTCAAGAGATTTTCAAGCACTTTCTCTCTCACTGACAGGCAGGAGAGGAGCTGTTCCCTGTAGATGACAAAGGCATGGCTATCCCCAGCAACACAGATATCCTGCAGACGTGGGAGGTGAGTTCATCCCGAGTGGAAGAGTCACATCTTCTGTCCTCAGCAGTGGTGTTGGCTTCAGCAGCTGCAGGATGTTCAGCCACGGATGCAGAATTAGTTGGAAAGAACTCACGGAAGCACACGGATTTTAAAATGCGCTTTTAAAGATGTGCTTCCCTTGAAGACAAACAGAGCATGTCAGGAAAAATGTGCTCAGTCGTGTCTTACCCACTGCATGCTGACTGTGCTCCCCTCTCTGCCAGGCCATGGAGGAGCTGGTGGATGCTGGCCTGGTAAAAGCCATTGGAATCTCCAACTTCAACCGTGAGCAGATTGAAAGGATCTTGAACAAGCCAGGACTGAAGCACAAGCCTGCAAATAATCAGGTGAGCTGCAAAGTGAATGCCGGGGGATACTGCTCAGGGATTATAAAGTTCTGATTACAGTTGAATGAGGAAGTGGAAAAAGGGAAAACAAAGTAGACAAAACGTGTACTTAAATCCCTCTCTCTGGACATTTCTTCATACAAACAAAACCAGAATATTTCCTTTTTGTCTCATCTTGTTGAAACTTTGGAGCGTTTTCCTAGGAACCATTCTCTCTGGAGGCATGAAGAATCCACATATGAGGGATCATTCTGACATAATGATTGACTCTTATAAAGCCTCTCAGAAAAAAATCCAAAAAGCACATAAAGACAGTCTAGAAGTTGGTGCCCTGTAGAATTATAGTCTTGTATTGTCACACAAGCCACCTGCAGGGTGGGGTGAAGTCAGCCTCTAATTAGGAAATTAGAATGCAGAAAAACCTCTGGAGCAAAGAAAAACTACAGTAGTTTTACAGCTCTCAGTCTATGCTTCTGTGTTGGCAGATTGAGTGTCACCCATACCTTTCCCAGGAGAAGCTGATTGACTACTGCCACTCCAAAGGGATCACTGTGACAGCATACTGTCCCCTTGGACGTCCTGACGGGTAATTTCCAAGTGGCTTCATGTGATTTATGACTGAGTAATGGTGCAGGTGTATATATATATATATATATATATATGTTGGTTGTTTTTTTTAATTAATGGGGCTAGATAGAATCTTTCTGAAGTGATTCTGTGTTGTTTCATCCTTTTCTCCCCCACTTTGTCTAGTTCTAAGCCAGAGGCACCTTCCCTGCTGGATGACCCCAAGATCAAGGAGATTGCAGCCAAGCACAACAAAACCCCAGCACAGGTGGGTAGGTGCCAGACAGTGGATACCCCTTCCTGTAACACAGCAATTTGGGAAACTATGTCTGAAGAGAGGGAGCAGCCTCTGTGGTGTTACCTGTGAACAATGATGCCTTTTTGTCTTGTTAAAAAGCAGTGCAGGCTGTCCATTCTGTGGCCTGCTACTAACTCTGGCCATCAGTCAAGAACATTTTCTTGACTCGTCTTCAGTTGTCACATCTCAAGTTCTTTTGAAGAAATTAAAGCCTTGTGTATAGTGCAAAACTTCTGGATGCTAAGGAAAGGAATTGACAAAGCCAGAATGGAAAGGAGACCTTCCATGGGGCCTTCCACCACTTCCCTCTCTGCTCTCCAGGCAGTGCAAGCTGGACTGCAGGGTCAGGGATGATTTGAAATGCAGCTCTGCAGAAGTGGGGACAGCTCAGGGAAACAGCTGTGGGAACAGGAGGAGGGATTGAGTTGTCTGTTTTTGCAGGTTCTCCTTCGCTTCCAGATCCAGAGAAATGTGATTGCCATTCCCAAATCCGTCACCCCCCAGCGCATTGTGGAGAACTTCCAGGTGAGTGACCAGGAGGGAGCAGGGGCTGCCCCTCAGGGATGGCTGGGCAGTGATCCTTTAGCACCCTTGCCATGGCTGGGCTCTTTCTGTCTGTCTGGAAGTCAGGGCTGCAGTGAAAACTACAGTGAAGAATAGACAGAGCTGTTGGAAACAGTGTGCTGATAACACAGTCAGGCACTGTACACTTCACATCCTGTTCTTCTGTTTCTTCCCTCTGCCTGGGAAGCAGAGTCTGGAAAATCCAAAGA